TTCTAAAGGACTTATTGAAACAATCAATGTATCCGAAAGGTATTTCTTGTTCAATGGCATAAAATACAGGTAGTCTTTGGCTTATGACCACAATTCAGCCCAAAATTTCTGTTGCTAGATAGTTTGAGATAGTTAAGTGAATTTTGCTCCATTTTACAACCTTTCTTGCCACAGTTGTTAAGTTAATCACTGCAGTTGTTAAATTAGTAACCTGGTTGTTAAGCAAATCTGTCTTCCCCATTTATTTTGCTTGTCAGAAGTTTGCAAAAGTGATCACATGACCCGGGAACACTGCAATGGTCATAAATATGAGCCAGTTGCAAGCATCTGAATTTGATCACATCTCCATGGGGATGCTGCAATAGTCATAAGTATGAAAAATGGTCCTAAGTCACTTTTTCGGTGCCACTGTAACTTTGTATAGTCACTAAATGAATGGTTGTAAGTTGAGCGCTACTTGTATGAAAAAAATACATATACATTGCATGTAAACATGAGCTCTTCAATTTTTCATTTTTCCTAAAATCCCATATTCCTGTTTTGGAATTGCAAACCCATTATAAAACTGCTTCTAACATTTGAGTATTATGGTATTATAGGGGAATAAAAGACTTTCAATGTCTGAAGAAAGCTGTAGACATTTATTTCTTCTTACAACAACAGATAAATTCAGTTTCATTAAAAAACCAACAAGTAGTACTTTGCCTCACTATGTATTAATATATAGACAAATCTCCACTCCTTTAATAACATTCTTTGCTATCGTTTCCTTTCACAAACTGGTTACTCTAATTATATTTAGTCAGAACAGAAGGGAAAAAATACTTTTTGTCTTTCTCATTATCTAGTGAGAGAATGCAATATTTCATCTGCCATCTGTCCGAGTACAGACTTTTATTTATAGGGCTGCATAATTGAAGGGCTGTAAAGACATTCTAAAGGATAGTCCAGTCCAGTCCAGTCATTTAAATAGAAAGGACCATCAGGGAAAAACAAAAAAAGAGCAGGGTCCTTGAAGGAACTCATTGATGATTGCCACCTGGACAGCAGATGGGATAAAATGCAAGTCATCTGCTTGCTTGCAAGTCTCCCCGGAGCAGATGTATGTTATATTTCTGTTTAAATTTACCATATTTTCATTTCTACATTTGTACCTGTGCCTGTAAATTAGTCTATGCAGATTTTAAACAAATCTGTGCACGCTCTATTTATTCTTTCCATCCCAATAGAACTGTGGGGAAACATTACATGGAAAAAGAGTTTTGGTCTCTGACTGTCAGCAAAGTAACTCTCCAGAGTTACTCTAAAGAGAGCTACACCAAATTTGGCGAGGGGTTGAAAATGGATCAAATCCAGGGATGTGGGGACAAAGTAACAAGAAACAGTTTGGTCTTGCGGTTAAGACACCAGGTTACAAACCAGGTTAGACTGTGAGTTCTAGTCCCACCTTAGACATGAAAGTTGGCTGGGTGACCTTGAGCCAGTCACTCTCTCAGCCCAATCCACCTCACAGGGTGGTTGTTGTGAGGAATATAGGCAGAAGAAAAGTATTAGGTATGTTCACCATCTTAAGTTATTTATAAAAATAATAATGGTGGGATATAAATAAATAATTTTAAAAAGGCTATGGGAGAGAGACTTGGCCAGTGGCTTAGAATGCAGCTAATTCCTTCAGGCTAAGCCAGAGCTCCATTTTTGCTGGTAGAGGGTTGCAGGAGGCAGCTGAAAACTGAGCTCAGGAGCCCATTTTCACTGGCAGAGCAGTTGGGCCACCACAGGTGCCCTCAACATGAGTGACGACAAGATGGCCACAACAAGATGGCCATGCCCTCACCACACCCCCAAGGTCAAACACAACCCTGATGCAGCCCTCAATGAAATCGAGTTTGACACCCCTGGGCTAAGTCCTTCTCTCTTCTTTCCACATAACATATAGCAGAGCTTCTTCAAGAGGCTTGAAATCCAAAATCTACATTCTTCATAATTTCCCTTTTGGGGGATAACATGATCTTCTTGTTAGCACTCCTAATCGGCTAGCCTCCCAGCTGACAAATGCGTTTTGCCTCTTTCCTGTCAGTTCCCATGTCCAGCAGACTTTCTGAACCCTCCCAAAACCTTAGCTCAGTAATCTGTTTCTAGCAGTGGCAAACCAGTCACTTCCAAAAAGGTTACATGAAAAGGTGAAATACAACAGTTTTCTTCTATAATTTGCACCCCAGTGATCAGGCTTTGGGTGATTTGTTAATAGGTGAGCTATGCCTGACTACAATATCTAAAGTACTAAGGTCCTGCCCCATTTGTTGCAAAATTACCTTCCTCTTTCCTTTATTGAAACTTCTGAGGATCTCCCATTTTTAATTCTCTCTCGGGTATAAGTCTGTTTCTGTTTAAACAGAATATAGCTTAATTATCCAGAGAGTCAGTCTGGAGTACTGATCTTCATGAGTCATTTCTCATTGTAGAGACATGCTGTTTCTTGTACACAGAGAATGGGTGGTGAGAGAAGAAAGATGATGGAAAAGAACTTGGAGGTTTTGACAAAAAGCCTATATGGTCAGCATTTCTAAGTGGACTTCCTCAGGATGGGCACGAAGAAAAATGGATGCACATATGTGCCAAGGCATGCTTTGGTTAACCATGAATTGGCTAGGTTAATAAACATGCTGAGCCAGGAGTCTAGATCAAAGAGCATATTTGAAATTTAGAAAACATAACTACCATGGGGGACACAATATTGCTGAAATTGCTTTTCAAGACCTATTCTTGCCTTCTAGAATGCTCCCAATTTTTTTTTTCTGGATTTACAGAGGACTTGACTGCAATCCCTCACCATCTTGGTTTTCTAAGAATGACTCTGGTGTACTCTGATAAATTCCTGAGGCTGGAGCTTTGCCTTCCAACATGCTGGCTTCCAATTTATTTGCTTATTTTGTGTGTGTGTGTGTGTGTGTGAGTGTGTGTGTGTGTGCCAAGAAAGAGTTCCTATTTGTGACATAAGTGCCAAACCATAAACCATAATGGAAATTGGCTTACAATAGGATGGAGTCAGAAACAAATTTTGTTATTTTCTCACATTTATAGGCTGCCCATCTCACTATCTTGCTGGGCAGCTTATAACATAAAACAACAACATAAAACATTAACACAATAAATATAACATGGTGTGAACCTAGTCATCATGTAGCGCAAAATGGCTAAATATAGGATGAGAAATGGAAGGATAAAGGGAGGTCCGTGCACAATCTACTAAATAAACCTAAATTGGGAAAGATTTCCAACCTTTTGCAGTCAGTGTTTCAGACTGGCCTGTCATTCAAACTCGGACCAGTTGCCATCTTATAATTCTTTAAACTTTGATGTTATGCCTTTGGTTTGTTTCTTGTTGATTACAGTCTCTGAGTATCCAAGATGACACCCATTTTTAATCTGAACAACACGAGTAGGACACCTTGAGTAAAATACAGCACTTGGTATCTAATATTTCTTCTTTAGCATCCCAGCTAAACACAGAAATTGCAAGGAGAAAAGGAGGCAGAGATAATGTGTGGGATGAAGGAATGAAGAATTCCAAACCAGAGGTCAGATATGATATTAATCCTTCTGCTACTAAAAATTAAGCAACACTTGTTGATGTTTCTTGCCCTTCCCATGGATATCAGTTAGGAATCCTGACAAGAACCAGTCAGTCTTCTTGTTCTTAAGGTATTGCAGATGGAAAGCTGAGAAGGTTAATCACCTGAGGACCATGTAGTGAATTATGGTTGACAGGACAGTTTGGCAAGGAAGACTTCTTGGCAAACATTGCAGCCACTGTGCTACAATCCAACACTTCTTGGCTTAACCAAGGAACGGGGTAAAGAAACACATTGGTAAGGTGTCACTAGCTCTCAGAATGTAAGAATGGTTTATATATGCCATCTATAACTAGTTTCTTGCTGGCTGGTTGTGTGAATCTAGCCATTCTGGCTTAAAAACATGGTTTATAGTTTCATATACTATGTGAAGCCAGGCATCTTATGGATTAGATGTATCAGTACAATAGACTAATGTGTACTACCATCCCATGCAGGCAACATTCAGGATCCCCGAGGTGGCTAAGAAGCTTCCTATGCAAATTATTATCAAGGTGTTTTTTTCCCTCCTATTTTTTTTTTAAACAAAGGGTGCAGTGGACTTTACACAGTCCACAAAGCCATCTAGATCAAGATCATAAGAGCCAGCCTGATATAGTGCACTAGGCTAGAAACCAGGAGCCTTTGAGTTCTAGTTCAGTTGTAAACACAAACCCAACTAGGTGATTGGGCCAGTCCATCTCTCTCAGCCCTAGGAAGGAGGCAAGGACAAATTGCTTCTGAAAAAAGTTGCCAAGGCTACCTTGGATTAGGACAATACCTTACATCAGGGATGTCCAAACTTGGCAACGTGAAAACTTGTGAACTTCAACTCCCATAATTCCCCAGCCAGGGAATTCTGGGAGTTGAAGTCTTCACGTTGCCCAGGTTAGACACCCCTTGCCTTAGATTTTTGCATAGCATCTTCTGTGCCGTTTGCTTTGTGATGCTAACCCAGATTATTTCAGCTCCATTCCTTAACCATCACCACCCCCCTTTTTAAAAAAAAAAATAAAAATTTTTGGCAGGGATTCTAGCAACACAGTATTCCCCTGAATTAGTGTTCCTTCCCTACTGCAGGACCATTGCAATTTTAGGTTTCCAGGCAGCATGATTAGAGGAGGAGGCTGGGACCTGTCTGGAAACAGGTGCCTAACTGCAGCAATTAAAGCTTTCCTTGAACCTTCTCTGGGTGCTGAGGGGTGGGGTGAGCTGCTGATTTCATATCACTATACTCTAGCATAAACACTTTTTGCCTTCTACGCTTTTCCTACAGTGGCTTTTCTCGCTGTACAGGTTGAGTTAGAAAAATGTGTGTCACCTTGGAGGTGCTGGAGAGATCCTGCACTGTAGCGAAAGAACAGTGTACATATTGACATTGGTGTCTGCTGCTAGTTTGCAACCTGGAACTGACATTTCCTGCGATTTCATGTTGATCAGGATGTAAGCCAGATGTTTTGGACTACATATCCCCAGCCAACAAGATCAATGGGCCAAGTGTCCAGAGGGTGAGAGAAAATGTATTGCAAGCATTTAGGGAGAGCTCCAGATTGGGGTGAGCATAAATGAGGATGAGCCAGAAGCTTAATGCTGTTGCAAACTGAACTATCTTCCTGGATTTATTTATTTTTTTAATTGCTATACCAGGAGGAAAAAAAAAAAGAGAAAACACTGTTGTGGTTCATTGTTTCTTCTAGCAGCTCTTGGGAAAAGTTAGTTGGGGTTGGTACTTCCTATTTGCAAGAATTCCTCTGAGGATAATAATAATTTCTTTTCTCGGAGTGAAGGTCACTCAAGTCTATGATTTACTGAACAGCAAGCAGAAATTATATGATTCTTGAATAGGTGCCTTCCTGAGTTGTTGTTTTCCTTCACATCATGGCCCTTTGCATATCTTCATGGGGAATCTGGCTCTTATCAATTCCAGACTTAACACCCCTGGTAGGAGCGTAGAATCTAAATAAGTCTCCCTGAGATGAGACATTTTTAACCTTGCTGCACTTTTTGTAGCTTGTGCACTATGACTAATCTTATATCCATCACATGCCCATTTTCTAGTCCTTAAATATTTACACTCAATGCGTCTTTTCCTGTGGTGACAGTGTGACTTTAAGGAGTTCCTGACAAAGGCCGCTTGCCATTGCAATCAGAACCAAGAATATCTGGCTCAAAAATCCAGATAGGCAATTTGTTTTAGGACAGCTGGCAACTTCAGTTCGGCTTAGTAGAGCCTAGCTATTTTTCCTTCCTAAAATCCTTCATTTTGCACCTAGCTTTTTTCCTGCTTGTCAATACTGCTTCACACTTTTGCAGGAAATATATATATATATATAAGGCAACAAATTCAGTTTGAATAATTCCTACTTAAATAGACGGGTATATGATTCTGGTTAAGATTTCTGGTTAAGAGAGAAAATCAGAGTTTTGAGTGATTCTAACTCTGGGCACATCCTTGGTTGCCAGTTTGCTTTGTTTGACTTGATTTGTATAGCTTTTTTATGATTATTTTTTAGTTGTTTGCAAGCTGTCCAGAATCATGAGTTAGGTGGCCATAAGGGGAAGGCAGGAAGGCAGAGAAACTCTGCTAACCAAGCAGCCAAGATAGGGCAGGATCCTTATTTGTATCAAACAGGCAAATTTGAGGGAGAGGAGGCCACACATGTCAAAATTGGAGGACTAAAAATTGGAGAACTTTAAACAGATTTATTCAGATCAGAAACAGATCAAGCATCCCTTTCCTTATAGTTTAGCTCACAAGTACCCAGCTTGATCAGAAATGATGGGAAATGTAGCCCAAGGTTCTGGAAGATACCACTTTGAGAAAAAGTACTTTACCACAAATGGGTCAACACATTGCGATCTTCCCCCTGCTTATTCTGCTTCAATAAATTGGTCCTGTCTCCTCTCACCTCAAAGACACCATTAGAATCAATTGCCATGTATGGGAATAAACTGTAAACTGCCTTTATTGCCTTCTCTCTAAATTGTCTTCTATTTTAGTGAGAGATGGTTGTTCTCATTGATAGATGCTGTTTTGGGGGTCTTCCTTATGAAGAATAATCATGCTTTTAAAAATGCCTTGCAAGTATACTGAAATATATGACACATACACAGCTGCACAACATTCATCTTCAGATGTATTCCTGATGACTGAGTATGTGTGGCCAACAGATTTTTTTTTTTTTTTTGAAGAATCACACTAACGTTTCTTCATATTCTCAGAATGTTGGACCAACCTATGAATTGCTCTCCTGCACAAAACCCAACGCTTGGCGACAGCAAATTGGGCCAGGAAATTAGCATTGACTTCTCCAAGCTGCTACACGTGGCCTGTTTTTCACGGTTGTGTGAGAAGCATCAGGTAATTTGCTTAATTATACTTATTTTACTGATTTATACTCGTACTAACTAAAATACGTTTTGTCCTTCAGAACTGGTTTCCCAGGACAATGTTTTAATGAATCAGGTAGAATAACCACCAGAGTTTTGAAGTTCCGTGTAAGTGTATCTACCTGGTGAATTTGAATGTTGTTGAGAACATAATTGGGCAAGATATATAATGTATAATTATTTTGCGGTGGCCATATCAATACCACTTTCATCAAGAATTCTGATTGAAGTCTTAAAATAGTGGTGTTAGAGATAGCCTGCTGTATGTATACCTGAACTGGGTTCCTTTACCCTCAATCTCTCTGCTTTTACAGTTTAAATCTATAGGTATCTTTGTGAAAAATTGCCTCCAGAAAAATTCCACCAGTTTGTGGCATGTACCCTCAATTTAGTATGTGGTCTAGAACCGAAGCTAGACCAGTGATAGATAACTTGTCAGGTATCAGATGTTGCTGAACTACCATTCCTAGAATTCTCTACCATTAGCCATGCAAGCTGGGTATATCAGGCGTCGGAGCTATAATTCACAATCTTTGAAATGTCACAATATTTGCCTGTCCCTTCTGGGGCCAAAAGAAGCTGGCACTAAGGGAAAGCTTTATTTATTTAATTTTTAATCCACCTTTATTATTTTTATAAATAACTCAAGGCAGCGAACATACCTTATACTGCTTCCTCCTCCTATTTTACTCATAACAACCATCCTGTGAGGTGATTTGGGCTGAGAGTGAGTGACTGGCCCAAAGTTACCCTGCCAGACTAGAACTCACAGACTCCTGGTTTCTTGCTTGGAGCCTTAACTACTAGACCAAACTGGCCTCTCAGACTGGACAGCCATGACTGGCATTGCCTGTTAAGTGCATCTCTGGCCTCCAAACTGGTCCTCCCCAACCCCAAGGCATATCCTGTTCTGATATCACCCCGTTGTGATTGAGCCCAGGTATAAACTACTTGATCAGCAGCTTCAAAGGGATTGTAACTGCTGCAGCAATTTGTGTTCCAGTTCACTCATCCTTTTGCATAAGTGCTGATTCAGACACCAGGAAACCCGGCAGAAGAGTTGTTAGGGCTTTTGTCTGGACCTGCCTCGCCTGGTCCTTCCTGCACAGCAACTCAGGTGGGAGGAAGCCTCCGTTATCAACAGCTGGTCTTTCCTTGTCACGGAAAGGCCTTGCGACTTGTTCCTTTTCCCACCCTTCCCACCTGCGGAGGAGGAGAAGGGAGTGGAAAAAGTAGCTCTTTGTTGAATAATGGCCTCGTCCCCAGAGCAGGAGGTGCACTGTGAAGTTGAATGACAGGTCTTCTCTGTGCTGGGACAGGGTCTGGAGAAGCACGGCCTGGCGAAAAAGGCAGAAAAGAAGTTCTGAAGATGGTCCCTAAGATGCCGACTGCCAAATCCAATCAAAAAGATATATTGAGCTATGCAAGCTCATTGGATATGTAACCATATGGTTAATTTTCCACTTACGCCATTAATAACTTCTGGGCTGCCGCTTCTCATTTTCAAAAAGACAAGCAGAAATCATAATCCAACAGGCTAAAACTACTCCCTTCCTTTTTCTCCAAACCTTTCCACTATCCAGAAGTGACTGACATTGTCACAAGATTTATGAGTGCCACAGTCAATAACACATTGAAAGTTTGTGAACACACAGTCAATCTTATCATTCTTTTCAAACAACTACAACCAGTGTTCCGGGTGTTTAGTCAGGCTTCAGCCATACATCTCTGGGTTGTTTCATGTGGCCAAAGCAGGAGACCTCATGGGAAATGCCACAATTTTTGTTGTTGTTATTGTTGTTTCAGTGCCTTCAGGGTAGTCTCGCAAACCCGAAAAAAGTTGCTGCTACTTTAAGAAATCCATTCATGTTATTGAAAGTACTGTTCAAGCTGCCATATTATTATTATTGTCATCGTTGGTCACATAATCAGCCTAATATTGAGACTGGATTGGCGTTTTGGATTTTGTCCACCTGTCAAGGATTTGAATTTCTGGATTTTGTCCACCTACCAAGCCTTTCCAAGGACTTGGAATAGGCAGATGTTGTTGTTTAATAATATTATAGGTATTGTCACAGGATGTAAGTTGTTACAAGCTGCTTTTTAAGTGTGAGGTGTTTTGTGGCAGGTACTTATTTGTTTGAATTGCAGTCTCAGAGCATTTTAGCTTTATTTTTTATTACTTTGTCTATTTTGTGGTCCCACCACTTCTTGCAGGTACGTCGTATTTCTTGCAGATATTCCAATACGCCATTGTTGCTACCTTGTCATACCTTTATTTCAGGGGTGGGTTCTACTTACCTTTACTACCGGTTTGCAAGGGGATCGCTTCTGCGCATGTGCAGATTGCTGATGATGACATCCGGGGCGGTGGGAGGGGCCTCCCACCAGTTTTACTACCGGTTCTTGCGAACCGGTCTGAACCAGGGGCAACCCACCACTGCTTTATTTGTAATCTGTCTATGTGATCTTGCAGCAACTAGCCAGGTGATCCACTGTTTCTTCAGGTTCTTTGCAGAGGTGGCACTTGCTGTCCTTTGCTGTCTTCCCAATTCAGGTTTTGTATGCATTTGTCGCTAAGTCTTAGTAATGTGTGCAGCCAGAATTACTCTGTTTCTTTCTTCAAGTTTCCTGCTCTTAGCCACTGCTAGGTCTTCTTATCTGCTTTGCTTATCTTATCTATTTTCTTTATGTACTGGACAAGTAATATTTTGCCTTCCATTTATCTTTTCTGTTTTTCGTTTGGTTTTTCGTGTAGGCCAGTTGGTCTCTCCAGTACTCAGTAAGCCTTCATGGTACACTTGTTTCAGTGCATCTTCTTCACTGTCCTTCAGATATTCTTCCAATGCCCTTTTTTTCCTTCTTCAGCTCTCTGAAGCCACTTTCCATAGACACCCATTTTCTTTGGTGAACTGAGTCTGTGACATCATTGCGTGGATTGGCTTTTGGTTCTGCTTGTGTAGAGTTCATTCTATTGCACAGGTGTCAAACTCGTGGCATCACGTGACCTATCACTATGTTTTTCCCCTTCGCGGAGCTGGGGTAGGCGTGGCCTGTGCATGATACATCAGGCCCGTGGGCTGCCAGTTTGACACGCCTGTGAATGACTGGAATTGTTCAGATGTTCGTTGCCTTGATAGTATTTCATTAATTGATTTTGGACTTTAAGATCTTCTTCCTTCCCATGATATATATTCATTTCTGATCTTTTTCTTGACTTCAGTGTGTTTAATGGTATCAGCCTGAAGGATGCCCAGTTATTTGTCCTGATTGTCTTCATCCAGACTCTTGATGTTATTTCCATAGGGCATCTTGATTCCTTCAGTCTTCACTATTTTCCTCCTGTTGTTAGTAAGGGTGGTACATTTGTCCAGTCCTTTGCAGTATCTTGGCTGTACATTCAGACAGTGTTGAGCAGCAGAAATTCCATTTCAATTGGTGCTTTCCCATTCAGCATCAGACCATCCATGCTGGGTGAGATGAATTTCTGAATCCTTTTAAGCCTGTCCAGGGCCCTGTGGATTGGCTTGGGCCTTGCTTAGCTTTTCAAGATCAACCAAGTACAGCTAGGTGCTGCCACCTGCTGACTGCAGCTTTCACTAGTGAATGCAGGACACCCAATAATTTGCAAGGATAGAGAAACTGACAGACAGACAGACAAAGATAGATAGATAGATAGATATAGATACAGATACAGATATAGATATAGATATAGATATAAAGATATATAGATATACTACTATTGAAGAATGGACTTTGAAGGTGGCCAGTTTTGCAGAAATGGCGAAGATATCAGCATACTTAAAAGATCGGACTCAAGAGACTTATGTATGGGAGTGGAAGAAATGGATAGATTATGTGCAGAATAAATATCAAACTAGGAAGTACCAGATAGCTTTTAGTTGAATGCTGTGTAGAAATGTATAGTATATAGGGGGTAGAATTGTTCAATGTTATGTAGAAATGTATAGTACACAGGGGGGAGATTAGAAGGGCGGTAAAGTATGATATAATATGATGTGGATTTGGATTTCACCTTGGGGAAGTCATGGGAGGAGGGGAGGGCTAGGGAGGGTTAGGGAGGCAAGGGGGGGGAATGGTAAAATTTGTATTTGTAAAACTTTTTCAATAAAAAAAAAATAAAAAAGAAAAAAGAAATTAAAAAAAAAGATATAGATATAGATATGCAAAAAATTAAAATCTCGGGTGTTTTCCCGCGTCATTATAAATAAGTTGGTTAAAATATTTAAAAACCTGGTTAAAAATCTAAAAATCTTTACAAAATCCTACTGTAAGGATTTTTAGAAGATTTTAAGCTGGGATTTTAACCAGGATTTTAAATATTTTAACCAACTTATTTATAATGACGCGGGAAAACACCTGAGATTTTAATTTTTTGCATATGCACACCCGCGAAAACTTAAGAAGACAGATATAGATATAGATATAGATATAGATATATAGATATAATATTTTTATATTATAGAGAAAAACCTATAAATCTATGCCCCCAACCACCTAACCCAATCAAGAATCTTGTTAGCAGAACCAATACTGTGCAGGAAATAGTTTTAAACTACCCTGAGCAAAAAATAAAATAAAATCTCAAAACAAAAATGTCATGGTGTAAAAGAATCCAGGATGTAGTTAATGAATAATGGACTGATGGAAGAAATGGGAAAACAAAAATCTGGGACAAGTGTAAGTAAGAAAATATTAAATGTTCGTTACTGAAACAATAAGGTTAATCATTGTTCTATCATCCGTATAACTGCATCCACCAGGGGGAATTTTTTTCTGTTTGTCATCAGAGTTTTCTATCATCCCATGGGGGCAGTGAAGTGGGTTTTCTGATTCATAGGTCAGCTGAATGACACTTCTCCTAGTCAACTTTATGGGTAAACTTCATCATACAGTAGAGCTGGTTCTAGTGTACCAGGAGGTAAACCTGAGGTTGTGGGGTTGTTTGTAGCTCCCACCCCACCCTACCCCACTCAATGAGATGTGACTATACAGATAGTCCTCGACTTGCAACAGATCATTTAATCACCATTCAAAGTTACAACAACACTGAAAAAAGTGACTTATGACCATTTTCCCACACTTACGACCACTGCGGCCTCCTCAAGGCCATGTGATCAAAATCCAACTGCTTGGCAACTGACTCATATTTATGATGGTTGCAGTGTCTCAGGATCATGTGATCACCTTTTGTGACTTTCTGGCAAGCAAAGTCAAACGGGGTAGCCAGATTCCCCTAACAACCATCTTGTTAACTTAACAACTGCAGTGATTCTTAACAACCGTGGCAAGAATGGTCGTAAAATGGGGCAAAATTCACTTAACAGATGTTTCACTTAGCAACAGAAATTTTGAGCTCAATTGTGGTTGTACAACAAGGACTACCTGTAGTCACAGCCAAGTTATCTTTAGCCATCCAAAAGTCTTTTAATTGCTTCTCTGAGATGTTGATCTTCTCCGCCAGTAAAAGAGTCTCTCGGTGTGATCCAGAGACCTGTTTGAAGACATGACTCCATCCCCAAGTATTAGAAGTGTTCAATGCATGCATGTTTATCTTGTATTTTTCTTTTTCTAAACCAGGGGTCAGCAACCCGCAGCTCTGGAGCCACATGTGGCTCTTTCATCCCTTTGCTGCGGCTCCGTCGCTCAAAATATGTGTCACAACGGCCAATGTGCAACACCCACCAGCAGCGATTTATTGCACTTTTTGATCCCGGTAGGCCAATCATGGATAAATCCAAGAAAAGTTTCAGAAGAAAACAGAGTTTAATTCAACTACATATGCTAGTTTTGTGGCCACTCAGGAAATAGTCAGGCACAGGAAGGGTTTTGTGGCTCCCGATGTTTTCTATTCTGTGGGAAATGGGTCCAAATGGCTCATTGTGTGTTTAAGATTGCCGACCTCTGTTCTAAACAATGGTAATTGGGACTGGCAAATCCGTCACTAAAGTCGTAAAGCTCAACGTCATGTGGTTGTTGTGCCCACTTACAGCAGTTGCCACAGTCCCAGTTGCCATTGTTAGGTGAATCCTGCACAGTCATAGTGCCCCACAGTCCCATGATTGCCTTTTGCATTCTCTTGCTGGGTTCTTGACTTTGCTTGCTGGATGCTGGCAGGGAAGGTCACCAATGGCGGATATGTGGCCATGGGATGCCACGACCGTTGTAATTATGAACCAGTGGCCAAGCACCCAAATCATGATCATGTGATTGCAGGGACACCATGACAGCCACAACTATGAAGAAGGGTGATAAGTCTCATTATTCAATGCCATTGTAAGTTTGAGCAGTCACTGAATGAGTGCTTACTGAATGAGGGCCACTGGTTATATGCCTCTGCAAGATGGGCAGCAAAGAGATTTAATAAATAGACAAACAAACAAGCGAAGCTTCTCAGTCCTGGATTGGTGTGATTGAATGATTGATTTAGAAGACTTGTATGGCCGCCTGTCTCATACGATGACTCCAGGCCACTCAAAACAATCCATAAAATGATGGATAAAATCAAAACTACCCCCAGGAACCAGAGTAAATAGCCTCCTACTCAAGCCTGATCCTAGCCCATCATTTGGATGTAGAACCAGCTTTTCATGTGATATGTAAAGCAGCCCATCAAGACTTCCACCACTATGAAGCTTGGATCCTCTTATATATTTTTTGGTGACACTGGAAGTGAAATGTTAATGATTTATGGATTTGTGTATGGATAAGGGATGGTTTATGTGAAAAAGAGATAGGTACATGTAATGCTATAGAGCAGGGATATCCAACCTTGGCAACTTTAACATTTGTGGACTTCCACTCCCCAGCTTGCAAGAGTCAAAGTTACTTCTTTATATTTTTATTACACACACACACACACACACTATATATATATAATATATATATCTGTACACCCTGTATTCTTGTTTTACTTTCTCTTCTTTTTATAGTTTGTACTTTTTAACTATTGTTATTGACATTTTCAATAGAAAATATTTTTAAATTTTTTCCCCATAACTTGAAAATAAGCATAGCTTGATATATGAGAATAGCTGTTGTTATAGTGATCATTACAACCTTGCCTCTTTTCCCTCCAGGGAGTGTGTTAAGCTGAAAAGATGACCACCATTTAATGTAATTGATTTATTACTTTATATGTATAAATTATGAAGGTTTCAGTATTAACTGGCCTGAACAACAAGCCCTTCAAATTATTACCAACACAATTTTCTATCATCTAAAAAGCTTAATGCAACATGTCCCAGACATTGATTCTGCATCTGATAATTATAAATCACTGATGAATTATGAAATAATATATATGCATAATACAGTAGTGGGATTCTGCCAATTCCAGGCGGTTTGGCTGAACCCTTTGTTAAATTGCTGGCACGCCCCACCCCTTGCCCCGCCCCTCCGCACCACTGGGTGAGGGTGGGCGAGCCAGCAATTAAACGGTTCGATGTTTTTTTATAATTTTATTGGCCTCGCAGCTGCTGTGGGGCTTCAAAGGGCCACCCTACAGCTGATCAGTGTTAAAAGAAAACAAATGAGTAGACCGACGCCTGCAAAAATAAATGGGTAGACCCAGTGGTGTGATTCTACTTCGGTAGAACCGGTTGTTAAGTAGTTAAGTAGTTAAGCCACTGGTTGCCATAGTGGGCGGTACTGCCCCCTGAGGGGGCGGTGGAATGCCTTAGGGGGCGGTAAGAGGCAAGGTGGGCGGCAGGAGGGGCTAAGTGGCAAGGAGGGTGGCCTCCACCCTTTGGCCTGTGCCTCACAGCACTTACCTCTTTGCAAGCAAACAGCAAGAAAAAACAGCCCCTTCAGCTTCAGCATTGGTTAATTAGCACAAGTTGATTAGATCAGCCTCCCGCCTCTCAGCTGATTTGCTCTCAGCTGTTTTGCCAGGGCTCTGTTGCTATCTGCAAAGAGTGCTGGAGCAGATTTTTTCCCCCTAGCTATGCTGAAAAAGCGAAACTGAAAGTAAAGCAGGGTCTTTGCTGCAACGTGACAAAATGAGGCAGAGAGAGATTTCTTTTTCCTCACCAAAAAAGGTAGGTGCAAAACTGCAAACTCTGGGAAATTTAGGGCAAAAGAGGAGAGTTCAAGATTTTAAAACACAAAAGAAAAAAAGTTCTATTTAACTAGGGAATTGTAATAATTGAGATACTATTAACTGTATATTGTGTTGAAAGCTGAAATGGTTAAGTTGTGGTTTGGAGGAATATATGGGGGAAATTATTTGGTTTATTATTATTGGTGAATATAATTAATTGATTTGTAAGAAATTGGATTGCATGGAAATAATTGGAATATTCATGTTCAGATTGATTAATATACAAAAAAGATAGTTACATAACTAATATTAAAATGTTGAATTTGTATTAAACAACTGTAATATTACATAATTAACCAATGTGAGGATGGATATAAAAATAGATGACAATGGGAAGGGGTATAATATAGAATAGAAGGGAAAAATTGAATTTGATTAAGATTAGAGATGAGGATGAAGGGTAAAATTGGTTTTTTAAAAAAATAGATGAGGAATAAATATGGCAAAAAGGAAATATAGAAATTGTAAATTTAATTGAAATGACTAAACACTGTTTAAATTTGTGAACCGGCCAAATACTCTGTTCAAAGAAAATACATTGTATGTTTGTATGTGTGTTTCTAATTATTGCTATTTATTCATATTTGTTCTCTTTTATTCTTTAAAGTTTACCAATTCATTCTTTATCTTAATATCTTTATATTTGTTTGGGTTGGCTTTCTTCCCTTTCATCTTTTTTATTGTACAGCAATCTTTCTCCTCAAACCTACCACCTCTCTCTTTTCTTTCCTTCTTACTTTCTCTTCACCTCCCTCTTCTTCTCCTCCCTACTTCCTCTTCCTTTCGCCTTCTCCTCCTCTCTTCCTCCCTCTCTTACCCTCCCTCCTACTCTAATTTCCCTTCCCTTCCTTCATCCCTCTCTATTGCTGTATCCTTTTATGCATATGGACTATCAGAGGGCTGAAAAAGTTATTTTTGACTGGTCCTCGCACTTTTGACCAGTCCTCGAACTTATGACTGTCCTCACATTTTATGTTTTTGCCCTATCTTGTCACCATGGGGAAGAGAAGCAGTTGTGAAATGAGTGACACGGTTGTTAAGAATGCTAGAATGGGCATAAATGATGACCAGTCATAAGTGTGAGGACCGGTCAAAAGTGTGAGGACCTGTCAGAAATCACTTTTTTCAGCCCTCTGGGTAGTCCTTTTGTGCATATGGACTACTCAGAGGGCTAAAAAAGTTATTTTTGACTGGTCCTCGCACTTTTGATTAGTCCTCGAACTTACGACTGTCCTCACATTTTAAGTTTTTGCCCTATCTTGTCACCATGGTGAAGAGAAGCAGTTGTGAAATGAGTGACACGGTTGTTAAGAATGCTGCAACGGGCATAAATGTGAGGATGGTCATAAGTCTAATTTAAAAAAAAAAGTGCGAGGACCGGTCAAAAGTGCGAGGACCAGTCAGAAATGACTTTTTTCAGCCCTCTGAGTAGTCCCTATGCAGATAGCCACGCCCACCCGGTCACATGACCAGCTAGCCATGCCCACCCGGTCACATGCCCACCAAGTCACACCAACTAAGCCACGCCCACAGAACCGGTTGTTAAAAAAATTGAATCCCACCACTGGTGTAATATGAATCAGCTAAAATCAATATTCTTGGGAGGTATGCACAGAGTGATAGCATGCAGCCAATTCTTTGTGGGCGGCTCCTCTAAAAACATTAATTTCATGCAGTCATTTGGTAGCCTTCCACAGGCGCAACGTCTGATTTCTTTGAGGGCTGCCTCCGCACATAGGCAATGCATATCTTCAAAGCATTGTGCGGTCCCTCCTGACATTAGTCATGCAGGCATAACCAACAATGGCCTTACTTACAGGCAGGACCTTGACATAAAAAGGACCGTTAAGCAGCAGCAGAAGAAACTATACCGAAGTGCTCCTGGAACTACAGAGAAAGAAGTATGTATCCCTTTGGGATCATGTGGAAAAGCTCTCTTTTTATGACATTCCACTATTATCACTGAAAAGTTACCTTCATTCCAAAATGTTTTATTTCTATCTCAATTGTTGCAGGGAAAATATGATATCCTATCGTATCCTATCCTATCACCTTCCTGCTTTTAAAGAGTTACATTTTAACAGTGCTCTACTATCATTGTGATAACAAAGCGTACTTTCTCTTCTATCACTAGAACTTTTAACCAACTTTTCTGGATGTGGCAGAGCTACTCCCCATTCTTTTAGAGTACAGTGGAGAAATATTTACACATCATTTAGTATTTATACCAGAAAATTGTTATTACTTTTAAGGTAAGATTTTTTTAAAAAAAAATATGTAGTGACCAGTGGTAGAGAATACAGAGCGTATATTTTCCTTTTGTAGGCATTTGTTAATCATGCAAGTATGCAAAACAAGCTCATTCTGACAATCATAGCCAAAAATGGATGCTGTTAAGATACATTGAGATATTCACTTTAATTCAGGCCTGCAAGTAAACTGGAAGTACAGTTTTCTAGATGAATAATGGCTGAAACATGAGTGTTCCTCAAAAAGGAGAAAAGGGCCTCCATATTAGGATAATTCCTTACAGAAGTCTTCTGAAAGGAGATAATCTGAAGCTCATTGAAAACAATTGGTAGGTGGTGCTCTCCTTTATTAGGTGTAGATTGTCTTTGGTTTTTTTTTTTTTTTTCTATTTATATTCATCCTATCCTCCAAAAACTCAAGGCAGAGCACATACCATTCACCCTCCAATTTTCTCTATTGAAGGAACCTCTGAAGAAGACTAAGCCGAGACATGACAACTGGCCAAATCACAATTGAATCAGGTTAATTATAAGACTTTTTCTTGACCATATCCAACATTTTAACTAGAGTATCAGACCGATGACTTAATCCAGTATGAGTTTTCTTGCTTTCTTTAAAGAATACTCTTAATTAAATTTATACGGCCAACTTACTCTATTAAAAACTCTCAGAGTAATATGATAAAAGCAAGTAAAACCCTAAATATCTGGAAAAGGAACAATGGTTTGACAACAATGAAATACCCAGGACCTGGCATTTGTGCTTACCTGAGGCCTGAGGGAAGTGCCAAGTTTTCAGAATTTTTTTAACCATGGCCAGAGTGAAGACCAGATGTTCTTGGATAGTAGGGTGTTCCATAAGGCAGAGGCCGAGAAAGCAAAACACAAAGGGTGGGGCTCCGGGGCGTGTAATTTAAGAGTCAAGAAGGGGGTGTTAAGTTCTTGGGCAAAATGTAAATAACTGTTACAGGCATAATGAGAAAGTGTATAAGTAGCTTATTGAGGTTGATCAATAATAATGAAATCTGAAGGAAATCATGGAGCATATCACCTTATTTCTTAGTCATAGTTCTGCTTTGTTTTCTAGCTAATAAGGAAGCAGCCAGCCTCGAGGAAGGCTTAAGCGCTGAGTTAACCTGGAGTCACTACCCAACTGCAAATGGGCTAGGACCAACTGACTGACCCAAAGTTCCTTGAATCCGTATCTATTTGTTCCCAAGGCTGCTACTGTCAGAAGATTGTAGACAGAACATAATAAAGTAGTTAGCTTGAATTCTGCACACGTGCATCTGGTTGTTTTCACCTGACAGGGTAAAGAATCCCTCATTTATGTGGATTTTTTCTTGTCCTAGAGTTGGATTCAAAGAACTTTAGTCCTAACTTCACTTACACAAATGGGCTTTGGAATTGTATTATGGCCCTTTTTTTCCAACAAGTTTGCAATCTGGCGCTCAGAATCTGCTGCTTACTGCTGCCCAGAAATGAAAACTTTTCAGCATGTGCTAAAACAAGTTAAAGGGAATTTGGATGATTCAGTTTAAGTCACCGGAAAAATTAATATGTATTCAGTGGTGATAATTGAAAGCTAACTGAACCATTATCTAAAGATTGTCAAATTATTGTGCCAGGAACATGGCAAGATTACCTGAGGCATTCCCCAAAGAAGCAAATTCAGACTTCCTGTTTCTACTACCGTGAGTTTGGTAAAACATTAGCTAGCTGGAATTTAAGAACTAGAGAGAACTATTTCTGGGTTCATTTATTAAAAGATGGCCACCTTTAAGTCAAGTTCAGTCTGTGGTAACTGTACAGTGCAGTGTTTCTGCCGATAGTAAAATAATTGGCCATTGCTCCTTAGAAAGTGTTTTTTTAAATAAATAAATAAAATCCCAAGTACAATTGAAAGTCTTATTACTACATAGTGGTTTCACATGCAAATAATACGCAGGTGACCTCTACTAGACTTTTACAATGATCATTTCCATTTGTAACAGTCAATCAAATAAATTATGACTACTGTGTATCTATGGTAGAAAAGATGTTTTAAAAAAGTAAAATGAGAACTGGTGTAAACACATCTAGCTGACAAACCTTTTGATTTTAGGATACTTTTAAAATGGTGAAGAAAGTGAAACTGAAGAGCTACCATCACCATCAACTAGGACACAGCTAGAAATCCAGATTGAAATATCAACCCTGGGTCAAGCTTCACATTCTCAATGTTTTTTTAAAATCACATATTATATACCAATATAATGGTCGGCCAACGTTCCATTTTTTGTTAGTGCAGAAGATAATTTTGACACGTAACTGTTAGTATGCTGGATAAGAGCACTAGTGCAATGCCTGGACCTAATTAATTGAAATTCAATGCTGTGGAATAAATTATACATTTCAGCTGTATACAAAGTGCTAAGCCTCAGGCTGGAGAACCTTTTTTATATTGGACAACAAAGCCAATAAATGTCTAATGGTTATGGGCTAGAGCAGCACTAGTGAGCCATATGGGATAGGTATCTTGCCATTTCATTTGGAAGGTATTATTTAAGACCTTTCCAAGTTCTTCCATTCATTTCTTTTGACAGTATCAATTTCCAAGGGAGGCCTTAATGTGCTGGCTTAGACTAACAAAATGAATTTATTTCAAAATACGTTAAATCAAAATAGATGTTATTGATGATATTCAAGAATGTGACCTAATTTAAGATTTATTAGGTCCTTGAGAAAAGAAAAGGCAAAGCAGAAACAATAACTACTTGGCTGAAACAAAACAATTGGAAGTCCAAACAGTTCCTTTCTCTAATAAGAAAATGGGGATCAATCTACACAGGTAACATATAACTTCTGACAAAAGGAAGCCAGCTTGAAGTCATAAGACAAAGCTATTTGCAGAAGTATGTATGAAAATAAGAAAAATGGATGGGTGAGGAGAGACTAAGTAGACGTGGAATTTACTGATAACTGATAAAGAAAACAACTGTCTTGTTTTGAGAAGTTGTCAAGAATAATGCATTCCAGTTAAACTTAAGTAATTGTTATTTTCATTTTCTCATTCAGTTCAATAGGGGTAAACTGGAATCAATACTAATAATTTTGAAAAATTAGGATGATGATGAAAATCCACAGCTCAACTGACTTGTGAAGAACAAAGGCAGGAGAACTCTATTTATCCAATATGTTTTTCTGACTTATTTACTGCTCCATAAGCCTTCCAAGTCACTTCTAAGGATTAAGGGGTCCTGTGACTGGTGTAAAACGTAGTTTCTCAAATTTCCCAAGGATAACTTCTCTTGAATAGATTCACTCAGAAATATTTCTTCACCAATTTTATAGAGGAAAAAAAATGTTTCATGCATCCATGTCAGATTTCAAAGAACAGATATTCTTCAGGTAAATTCTAATTTATAAAAAAGCACATTATTAATTTAAAAAGTGAACTCTTTTCTTACACATAGGTAAATAACTGGTTTAGATATGATATCTAATTATTATTAAGCACATTTTCATTTATACAATTAGACAATGGGTGTTAAAATGTATTTTATCCAATATATACATACGTGTGACAGATATACAAATTTGGACATACAAAACATTGGGATCTTAGGTGTCCTGTACTTTGCAGTGGAAACTTTACAAGGAGAATACATAGAAGCTTCTATAGAAAATACATGGATCAAATATTACTACAAAGGTTCATTTTAAACAACTCCCATTAGCTTCAGCTACCAAGGTCAATTGCAGGGATTGTTTTATAAGTGGCCTAACAAGTGGGAAACTAACAGATAACTCAGGCATAACTGGTACTTTATTTGATAGGTGGCATAAAAATACTAAATAGTAATATTAATATCAAGATCTGAAGTGACATAAACTGGCCATGGTGGTCCTAGTGGTTATCTTAGACAGCACTTACAAAATCAGTGCATTGACAACATTTCCATTTATCAATTGCAAAACTCCACACTGCTTGGATTGCCAGATATACTATGCTGATACATTATGACATCCTAGGTTCTTGGGAAGAACTATTTGTGTATGAAGGCCAACAGCAGCTAAAGAACGGGCAGCTGCGACTTCACATTGTTGTGAACAGGTAATTAAAAACTTGATAAGTGTATTAACAATGTCAAATCCAGTCTAACCATCTGGCTGTGTGACCAAACATAATAATGCAACAATACCTTTAATATTATCAAATAACAACATCTATTTATTCCAGTTCCTTAGGAAGGACTCAACAAATGGACAAAAATGCCAAATCCAGTCTAAGCATCTGGCTGATTGCAAAACCAACCATAATAATAATATAAAAAAATCCACAAAGAAAAAAAAAGATGATGTGCCTTATTTCAGCCTAATATAGCTAAAGTTTCCAACGAAAGTAGAGTAGTAATTATAGTCAGTGGACCACCACCTTTTGGAAAGAAGAACATAAGACCAACGTACTGCATAAACTTACACATTTTCATTTTTCTATACAGAATATTACAAGTGAACATTACATCATTCAATATGAACTAAGAGCGGCCTAGATGCTGAGCAGACCTAAACAAATCTACATCAAAGGGTATCTGGGGGCTGGGGATGGGATAGAAAATTTTTCAATATGTGTAAGATTGTTTCCAGCTACTAGCTGAGGAAAGCCATTCCTGTTGTTCCATACTTCTACTGTGTAAATATATTTCAGTCAGATAGCAGAACAGTGTTTCTTGTATTATAAATATGACACCTCATTGAGCCAATAGGTTATAGGACAGACTTGCAATATATTGAGGAGCAGTAAATTATATTTGAATTAAGTTTTATACACATGTAGTCTATCTAACATATAGCAGAGTACAAAAGACCTATGTTCTTCCAACTCTTCAAATCATATATTCTTTGGATGAGAAGATAAATTTTACTGGAATTTTAGAGTTCTATCAAGTTGCAACTTCTATGAGAAAACTGTTCTATAGCAAATATAATTATCACATATTTAACAATTATGTAAATGGAGAAAAAGCTATTATGAACAGAAATTACCATAAACTTCAGGTATTTTAAGTTGGTATTATTATTATTATTTTTTAAAAATCAACGTTGAAATAAACTATTTTCTATGGTATGCAGTTATTTGCATGTTTCTATTAAGAAGCTGCATAAACAAGATGCACTGTTCTCTTCCATTTTCTGGAACCTCCACCCCAAAACTTTTGCATATGCTGTAACTGTCACTTCCTCCAACAATTCTGAGGCAAAGCACCTATATTATGTCACAAAAATGAAGAAGCGCTTATACAAAATGCCAGCTTGAACAAAATACAATGCATTTTATCTTTCAGAAACTGAATATACAAAGTAAATGTCTTTCCAAAATATCTTCAAAGGCAAAGGATTAAAAAGGATTTTAATTATACACATATAGTCACAATTCTTGCCTTAAAAAGGAAACTGGGAAATGTACATAAGGCCGCTTGTAAATGTACACCTTTATCTTACTGTTACAGTGTTGTGTTTAAATTGACAGTATCATACATATTTGCTTTAGGATGAAACAAGCTGTTAAAAAATACAGCATTCTTCTATACAAAAACAAATCGTGCCACATTTAAGATGGAAGAAGCACTGGTTTCTGTCATCAGTATTTCTGTCCATTAATTATCTTTATTCTCAATGTTTAAACTGATTTAAGTTTCCAAAATGTCCATATTAACAGAATAGCTATGTAATAAACAAAAAGATTTTTGTAACAGATCAAAGAAAGCTGATTCATATCTCTGAAACCATATAAAGATAGAATTTTTAAAAAACCAGTCTTGATTTGCCGAAATAAATTTACATTATACAACACTATGTCAGGGTAGAGGGGCAGGGATATGAATATACACTAAAATGCAAATTTTCTTCCCAAAAGGGGTAAAACAAATTACATTTACAGCATGAAGGTTTACAAATGTACATCTGTACAACCAAGGTAAGCATCACTACTTAATTAGCAAGGCTTTTAAAACATTGAAAACAAGGAATCTGTTTACAAACGGTAAACTTACATCTATTAACTATACTTATATAATGCTTATATTTATAAGGAAGCAAAAAAACCCTATCTGAATATTTAATCATGCTTCAGATGTTGCACTATCAAATTTAAATAGGCTCTTTCCTCCATCAATTCTCTACAAATTCATCTACTACTTCAAGCAAATGCTCAATTTTCAAATCCTGTCTTACAATTGTATATGCAAAGCAAAACACACATCTTACACCAACTGTCTGCCTATTTATTTATTGAATTTACTTTTTCCCAGACAGTACATTGCTGGATCCAAGTACTACCTTGATTTTATACCCTATTCTTTCACCATTAGTTAAATATTAAATTATATACATGGCTTCTGTACACTGCCGGAGAAAAGGGCACTGTTTTTTTAAAAAAATTATTTCCAGAGTAAAAGATGGAAACTACTCATCAGTGTTCACATTTTATGACTTCTTTACTGGTATTTGCAGTACCCTGATTGCTTTTGGGACTATAAAATTGTGAACCACCAAAATACAGAACTTAACTTTCTGTATCAGGTTAAATAATAATTATGCAATTGCTTCATTTCCAACTGTTATAAAAAAGATTCCACACAAAGGGGAAAAATGAAAACTAATTCTATATACAATTATATAAACATGTTGTGCAATGATGGTGGATAGACCTACCAGACTGTAAGCCAGTATATTAAAAGAATACTGTACTTTTTCCCTTTAAAAACTATTTTATTCAGTGACTTTACAAGGTAAAAATTTACAAAATGGGAGAGCTATTCCGATAGTTACATCATTTACAGGCATTCTGTGCTTTGTAAGCCTTGCAATCTGATAGGTCTCTATTAAGAAATGGCAATCTGTTGTAATTCATTCCCCAAAAATATACACATGAATAACATTTTTACAAATGGATGAAGTCAATAAATATATTTTTAAAAAAATCACAAAATTTTAGTTAAGTTGGGTGTTTTGATAATTCACAATACAATTCATCTTTTGGACTGCTCCTTAAATTTATCTTCAAAGCATCCCATTTGGTGGTCCTCCAACTGGCCCCAGATCAGCATTGTTCTTCAGGTAATACTTTTCCAGCTTGGCAAGGATATGCTTCCCATAGGTGTATTTACGCAAGGTTGTAATATGGGGTCGAATCTGGAAGGAAGAAATTGAGACCATTAAATACTCCCATCATCAAAATTGCCATTTTGAAGCATAGTTAGAAGGATAAAGACAAATATAACCCATCTTTCACTAAATGCTCAAGGTGTCTTTTCTTAATATTTGTGACCGTGAATATTTGTGAATAATGTTAAGACCCCG